CTTAATCTCTTGCGGTCCATTTTTTCACAAAGTGTCTACAATTGTAAAAAATATCCCCCCTCCTCTTGACAGTTGTATCGACAAAATACAATCGTTTGTGTTAACAGATGAAAGAATATCGATAAGAAGGGTGTCTCGTATTTCGTGACTGGTAGGTATTTGTAAGAAAACATAAATATGCTAAAAGTACATCTGCAATCCAAGTTATAGCACACCTTATAATCAGATTAACACTCAAAATCTCAAAATCTCACTAATTTTAACTCTATCGAATCATTGGTTAGCCACTAAGAATACCTGGCTAATGTCAACAAGTCCTCATAATTAATTTGATAATTAATTTAGCCCTGGGCACAATGACCCGTGGTAACGTATATATATACCTGTACCAGCGCCCCCTGGTTGTACAGGTAAGGATGTTATCGTGGCAATAGTTGGTATTGTCGTGTTTAAATCTGATTATCTGAGATCAAACAATTCTATATTTATAAACAAGGTACCATCTTATCTTTTACCGGTATTCTTAACCGTTCCGCTAGGAGGCACTGATCTTGATAACCTTCGTGAGGGGGTCAAACCCCGATTTCATTTGACTGTCAAATATGTGTATTGAACCCTTCAATGACGTACTCTACTCTTTTATTGAAACCGATATTATTTTTGAAAAGTTTTTATCAAAAGTTTCCAAAGGATTATGTTCCCATGGGTGAATCTGCCTTTTTTGCCTACCACGACGTGTAGGTTATTTCAAATTAGTGTGTTTTCAGCTTATCCCAAATCCTGAAGAATCGTTAGCGATACCCGGGAGATTTAAAAACGATCACTGCTGCCAAATTAAAGATATGTATCAATGAAAAAATCTAATTTGATAGAAAACAAACATGATAATGCGTGACATTGAATTGTTACTGTATATTGGTTATATATATATATAATATATATATAAGTTCGGTCATATTTCGGTATGATGAGTGAGTGAACCTATTGCGTTTGAGTATTCTGATTTGACAAAACTCGTGTACCCTGATAAACGATAGTATATATATATATATTGATGTATATTGCGTGGTTTTATATTGATCTTTACACAAAAAAAAGTGTAGGACCTTGTTTGGCATTGTTACGTGCTTGGACAACAAGTTTTGTGTCATAACGCGATACATCGTTTTAAGAATAATTCTTTGTAATAAGATAAACACAGATTAACATATAAGAACGCCGAGTAACAAAAAAACCCTCAAAATTCAGTCGGTTTAACCGCAAATGCCATTTCTTTATAACCATTACACTTGGTTGTCACACCAGCCAAACCAGAGGTGTTTCCAGACAAATGACAATTTGAAATTATAATGGCTAGAAACATAGTAAACTTTTTGTTTTCAAAACTTTAGGCCCCTGACATCACCGACGAGTTCTAGAAGGACAAAACAGTTGTATGATGCAGTTTACGGCATTATTTGGTTCTACTGTATCCAATGTTAAACGTGTGTCATTTGTACAATTCTTTTCAACAATGACTTTCACACACTGTCATAAGATATCGGCGTTAATCATTACAGAAACAAATTAATAAGTATTGGTTTTAATTACATGTATATTGCACACCAGAATAATACACTCCCGGGCGTACTTTAACGCGATAATGAACTAGAATGTTGGCAGGGAGCCTACCTATTTGTTCTGTGTTGGAATGGACGATCTTCTTCTATGACAGACGCAGGTGTTTCGGATATCAATCAATTTATGACAGGATTGTTGTCTATGTTGATCCGTTTTAATTCTTTGTGCGTGTATATGGTGCAGATTTGGTGATGATAGACTACAAGTGTAAACAATTCCTGTGGAGTGTATTTAATTACATAATAAATAATGTTATCTAGTACATCAGGATAACAGAATTGCACTTACCGACATCGAGTTCCGATCAATTGCATTAATTTATAATGATGACAACAGCAAAACCCGACAAAAACGAATCGTAATTGTAATACAAAGGGAAAAACCAATAGCGCGATATATCGTCAAACCTTCTTTAGAGAGGATATTGTTTTTAAAAAAACAACAAAATATTAACATGTGCCAACAACTCCGAACTTCACATTACACAGGAGAACTGAAAATATTTCGCAGATATCATATTAACGATCATTTGTTTGTTATTGCGTGCATTTTCACGTACAGGTCACGTTTGTTTTAAATTGTCATTAGTCATAGACACTTATCGATAACTGGGTAACAGTGATTGCTCCAGTGTATTGTATTGGACAGCAATACTGATTGCATTCAAATATTCAGTGCATTCAATAGTTTTTGCAGCGTTGGTCGCTTTTAAATCAGCAATATCTTCAATAATTTGACACTTCTTTTTCAGGCGGTAGGTAATGTATACTGGAACACTTCATGTAAATAACTTTAAGTAAGGTATATTGTGAAATTAAATTCTTTAAAATATGCTCAAAATTTCAGTTAGGTCGTTCGCATTTCGTTACAAACTCTCTTGGATATAGAGCCAGGGTGCATTAAGTGACATGAGGCGTGTCAATGGCGCGGAGAAGAGTTGAAACGTTCATTTATCTAATGAGAATGTCAGTTCTGCAGTATTTTTATCCTATCCACAGTGTATCAGATTTTTGGATTCAAAGCTATTGGACAGAATATATTTTCAGATGATCAGAATTACTGGTAGAAAAGATACACCAAGAAAACACAAGCATGTTACCATAATCATTACCCACCCGCAAATTCCATAAAACTAGGGCAAAATATGAGCAAAAGAACGATTTAATCGGAGACTCGAAAAAGAAGAAAGAGTATAAGACCAGGTGTTCCGGAAGAGTAAGCGTCTGCTGCTTCATCGACGACACCTACCTTGTAAACATTGAGAAATCCAATAAAGTAACATCATGTTGTAACATAAGATCAATGTATACAACAACGGAACCTACAGGCAAAATAACAAGCATCAAATACGTCCAACTTCATATCATATAAAATACATAGAATATTTCTCAATGAGATCCCTATAGCGACCATAAAATTCTCCATAATTTTCATCAGCCTGCATCTTTCGAAACCCTCTGTTACGAGCTTGTCAGTCAGTTGACGACTTCTCGCGCGAAAATCGTGATTATGGGAACAGAACCAACTGTAACATGTTAACACTATAGGTTGGAGCTGAAGGGATATTGCTATCTAGAAATGGAACATTCACAAGAGGAAAATTGAAATCATCGCGTTTGTCATACAGCTTGATCTCTGACCATTTAATTGACGATTGAATATCTTCGAAACGAAATTAATTTTAATCACCTAACATGCTAAATTGAAGGCAGAATGCTCTCTCCGTTTGCTTTTCTCTGGTTGTATGCGAAATTATGAAGGGTACATTCCGCTTTTCTCTGGTTGTATGTGAAGTTATGAAGGGTACTTTCCGCTTTTCTCTGGTTGTATGTGAAGTTATGAAGGTTTCTCTGGTTGTATGTGAAGTTATGAAGGGTGCTTTCCGCTTCTTTCTGGTTGTATGTGAAGTTATGAAGGATACTTTCCGCTTCTCTCTGGTTGTATGTGATGTTAACTATGGTATCTTTCGCTTCCCTATGGTTGTATAAGGTTGACACAGACTGAGGAGAAAACCAGTACCTTCAACATTCGTCTCTCTTACCGTTGCTTATGAGAATAATGGAGGGTGATAAAGATGGAAAAATGTTAGGGAAGAAGAAAGCTTTCGTTCCCTCTCTTGCAGCTTGTGAGAGTCATGGAATTCAACATGTCTTTTCCTGTTATTGTCGAAGAAATAGATTCTGTTCTCGGTACCACAATGTCGCTATTTCCGCTATTTATAAGGGTTAGGGAGGGTGTACTTTACCTGTAAATTGTTGGTTCTAAACACTCTTTCTTACGACCCGTTCAGTTTACAGTTTTCCATATTAATTTAAAATGTTGTCATTATGTGCTAATTAAACTGATATGTTTACTTCTTTTTTCCTTCTTTTTTTGTGTGAGTAATGATCCTTAAAAGCAGGTTTAATCATACCTGTACATGGAATACGACCAACAGACACACAGGGGTAGACCGATATACCTGTAGGTAATTATAGTTAATTACAATAGAGATACATTTAAAATTACCTGGATGGAAATAAATTTAGCAGTCAGAAATAGGTCAATAACAATTCGATAAAATTCTAATACCATTTATAGGGCCCTGTAACGAGATACACATCTAGACCAGGATATTTTTGTATTGATTTTTTTAGCATTTAATTGGATCTCATCGTGTTGAATTAAAATTTGATTTTAAGCGTATTTTTAGAACGTATTACTTGAACTGCAACATTGAATTTCATTATTATATTTTTCACTGACTGGGTACATGTGCTATAGGAATTTCTATTAAAAAAACGTAGAACCGTGTGCGATTTTGTTTCTATTCACACAATACAACAATACATGGTTAGAAAAAAGAATAAACGAAAAAGCACAACCTAGATTCAAACCAATTACAGCATACCTCATTCACTAACTATGAGGACGCCGCCGTGTCTTATTCGCAATGGACGCCATATAAATGGTTTTGTCTTCATATTTTCCCTCATTTCATCGATGTTTTGTCTTTGAGTTCAGGTTTTGTGTTAATATGTCATTGTTGTTGATTAATGGGAATTAAACGATATATATAGTGTATATGATCACACACGATGTCGGCTTGTGTTTTAATGGTGTTGTTAAATATGCGTGATTTTAACGTTGAAGAAGACTTTTGCTATATAAAATGAGTGGTTAGGGCACTTTAATACTACACCATTCACTAAGCGTTGTATGTGAGTACATTGTAATGATTAACCTAGGCTTTGTCAGGTGTTTAACTATAGAGTAACGACCAGTCTGTACAGGTATAATCAATATACAATGCATTAAGAAACATAGTGTGGCTCACAAAGAACCAAAAATTTCACGTTCAAACGAATAATGACAACTGATCTTGGTTTACCGGAAGAATAATGGCACGTGAGTTAGCAGACGACACGATTAAGATGGCACACCCGGTCATAGAAGGTATGTAGTTAATGACACTATATATAAAGTATAGAATCCCACCGATGAATCACTCTGTCGGTGTATTTAATGAAGATGGAAACAAAAAATACTGAACTTTTCTCAAACAGCGGTAAGTAACCATGCGTAGCATGACTATATATATATTTATCTGCATCATGTATGACGAGAGAGGCTGTAATTATAATACCAATTGTAACATAACCAATATACCATAATATAATGTAGTCGTGCTAGGTAAAATGTGTACTGATCGATATGCTTATCAGGACAGGTATTATTCTAATTCAACGTCACTTGGAAGCAGATTTTAAGGATGGACTAACGGCATAAATACAATTTGTACTCCAGCCAACAAAGTTAAAATCAATCCTTACGTATTTTCAAGACGTGACTGTGTATATGATTTATATATATATATATTGCACTCTGTTGTTGTGGAAATTAAGTATGCTCATGAAATTAACAAAAATTGTAGTATTTTGTAAATTTTACAAAAAAATATTCGTTAATTCAACAAAAATGATGTACTCAAGACATGAGACAAGCATTATATACTTTGTTATAGCATTACCTGGCGGTACGAAGGAAATGAATCAGAAATTATTTCTACTAAACGCAATTTTCATCATGTACAGAAGAAATGAAATACTTTGTAGTGTTACCGTAAAATGTTCATAATGTACAGAAGAAATGAAATACTTTGTAGTGTTACCGTAAAATGTTCATCATGTACAGAAGAAATGAAATACTTTGTAGTGTTACCGTAAAATGTTCATCATGTACAGAAGAAATGAAATACTTTGTAGTGTTACCGTAAAATGTTCATCATGTACAGAAGAAATGAAATACTTTGTAGTGTTACCGTAAAATGTTCATCATGTACAAAAGAAATGAAATACTTTGAACGTTTTTATTAGAGGTAACAAAAATACTTTGTAATTTGCCTGAAGGCAGATATGACAGAAATTGTATATAGAGAGTAAATACCGACGTTTATAGAAATTATCATACTTCTGGCGATTGATTTCAAGATATTTATTTTGAAATCGAACACATGTGGTCATATCGATATTTATCGATATTAATAATATGTCTTTGATCATTCCGACAGGAAATATTGTTCAGACTTAATTTGACACTATTTTTCTGTACTTTTTGTATGGCAGCCTTTGGGTATATGTTTTTTTTTATTTTATGAGTAACCTTATTGTACTTAATTCTTGTTTAGCGGCAAATATCATTTGTTTTGAGTTTGAGAATCTATCTCACAGAGACAAGTATCGTGGAAACCTTACTAACAAGGATTGTCTCTAAATTGGCACCCTAAAGTAAACTTTTGTCTTGTTTGTGAATGATCAGCTCCGATATGCCTTAACATAGTGTATGTCCTATTGTCGTTGTATTTAAAAATAGCGGTATCATTGCTGTGTCATCGTGAATTTCCTTCGGAATTTCGGCCCTATTAATGTTGTGATACACATTTCCTTTGTCTCGAAGGGTTGTCCCGTTAACTTACACTGTGTTTTGTGTGGAAATACAGACATAAACAGATTGAGTTTGTCCTCTGTAATTTGAATTTGTCTTCTGTAATGCTGGAAAGAATAATATCTATTGAAAAGTATTGAGATTACTGTATGTTTTGTGCCAGGTCATTCCGTATTTGAAAATCAATAATTTGATTATATTGTTCCGTTATACATGTCATACAAGAGCTGGAGGAAGTGAGCACAAACACGCGGATATGTCTGCCTTCATTGATCCGTGGTAGTGCTAAATCCAACCCAATAAACCAACTACCACCTTTCAGCTATTTAATGGCCACCAACAGGAACAAAGCGATCCTTGAATGCCCCAATCATCCTCACTTACAAACTATCTGCCACTCTCTGTTTGTTTAGTGCACCTCAGGATTGGAAATCTGTTTTAATGACGCCTGACAGCAAACGAGTGATCCTTGAATGCCCGGCCATACCCAATAAGTAACCAAGCTCAATATCACAATTAGAGCAATATTTCAAGCGCGAAAACCGCTAAAATAATATCAAAACAAACACGTAAACGTTAACGGTATGTCATTTACAGAGTTTCATATACTGACACGCAGGACTGGGGTTTTGTCACCATGTGTGTCCTTTATAAATACCGGTGGACAATTTGTAAAATGAAAATTGCCTTTACCTTCATGCCATATTTTGCTTCACAGGAATAGTGGCACGGTTCAGAATATACCATATACCGCATGTACTTGACGTTCTTTTGAGACAATTTTTCGATAAAGTTTGATTTCACTCAGTCGACTTTTTGGCTTCAAAATTAAGTCCCTTAGCATCACTGACCAGGGACAAAACGGCAGTATGATGTAGTTGATTTTATCATTATGCTCTGTCGTATCTTATTCAACATTCCTATGGGAAGTCGCTATCAACTTGGGTATCGTTTGTACAATTCTTGGAGTTACATTCGATTACCGTTGAAATCAGTTCAACCTTGAAAATATTTTTTAAGCTAAATACGCCCTCTTTTAATGAATGTCCACTGATATCATTGATTGATATTCAATATTAAGTGGGCTCTGCTTCCATAACTTGTATTTTACATGCAGTAACAAAACGACATCACGCTACCATTTTAACATTGATTTTTTTCTTAAATTTATGTTTCCGAGTAATATATTAACCTAGACGTGTTGGTTTTTTCGACTTGCTTTCACTTTCTTCGGAGTTATTCGTTTGATAAAACGAAGAGCAGTCCGGTCTTATTTATCTTTAAAGGTGGTTTATCGTTTTGAAAAATCAGTATCTCTGTTAATGTTTCACTTTATTTAGTTCTTCATGTTGATAAGGCGTTTCATTTAAAGATTTTATTTTGAAAAATAAATAGCATACGTAAGCTAGTTTTCATTATAAGAACATGATTATGTGAGTAGATAAGAAAAGTGTACCTTTAATGTTTGAATGTTTTAGAGGCGGAACCAGATATGGCGACACCCTATGACTGGCAGGTTGGGAAAACTTTGGCCGAGACCAACAAACACATGTTCGACAATGAGATTGGCTGTGACGTCGCATTCTTGTTGGGGGATGATCGCAGTGGAGTGTATGCTCATAAATATGTTCTCATCAGCCGCAGTTGCGTATTTTGTGCAATGTTACACGGACCAATGGCCGAGCGAACTTCTGAATACATCCACATTCCTGATATTAAGAGAGAAACATTCAAACAATTACTAGAGTAAGTTTACCACGTAAAATAGTTGGAAACCTTTACATTGTCATTATAGTGGATAACCAATATATCCGATTTAATGGAAGTGTCAAAATGTTTCAACATAACGAGTTCAGTCGTAGAAGGACGACAGAGCAGTATGTGCAGTTCAATTCATCATTTGATTCTACAATATCTAATAATTTGTTTGAAAGGTGTAAATAATTTGTCTTTTGTACAATACATAGTATGGTGGAACATCAACAATGGTGTCCATGGACCAAAACGAAAAATAACTTATAAAATTGTCACTGTTACAAAAATGAAATCAGTAGGGGTGCATTGAAGCATTGTTGTGAGTGCATTGTAAAATTCTCATGTGGAAATACTTACATTCATATATTATTGAGCATGTTACCTAGAGCTAGAGAGTTGTTACAAGTTTTGAGTATTGACCATCTGTATATCGATCTCATATTGATCACATTAACTCTACAACAATTGTCTACAACCATTCCTCCTTTCTCCACAGGTTCATGTACTGTGAAGACACTAAGGTCGACTTAAAGAACGCTCCATATTTACTTTACGCCGCCCGGAAGTACGGTATCGATGCTCTCGAGGAAAAGTGCGTGCGCATCCTCGAACGCGGTATCTCGGTTGAGAATGTTTGTGAGGTTATACGACAAGCATACCAGTTTGATGAACACGAACTTAAGAAAAAATGTCTGGATTTCATTTTTCGTCACCCAAAAGAAGTTTTACGGTCAAATAATTTCTCGGATTTACCAGATCCAGTCGCAAGAGAGATCATCCAAGCCGACGAACTCGCCGTGAAAGAAGAGGTTGTCTTTGATGCATTGATGCGGTGGTCTGAAATGGAGTGCATGCGACAAGAATTACCGGTGACAGGCAGGAATCAGAGGAGAATAATCGGTGGCATGCTGAAGTACATCCGGTTTCCTTTAATGTCAACTAACTACATAAATAATGACGTGTTGCGTTCAGACATTTTAAATACTGATGAGGTCAGAGACATCAGGGAATATTTCTCCGGCAAAAGTGATGGCGAGACGAAATTCAAATCGGAGAAGCGATCAGCAGGCGAAAACCACGTCCTCCATTGGCGGTTTGGACCAGTGAGCTGTATCCACAACGAAGAGACAGCCATTTCTTTCTCTGCTTCTCGACAGGTCCTTGTATATGGAGTGCAGATTGATGGCAGTGCGTACTCTGACGAAATCTACGACGCCGACCTATCTATCTTTGACACAAGCAACAAAGAGCTTGGCAAAGTAAAAAGAAAACTAGATATTAAAAAGAATAACTTATACGATGTTTTATTTAATGCGGCACCAAAAATCGACAAAGGCTATAAATATACAGTAATTCTGAAGATACAAGGTACCCATGGTTACTTCGGCACGAGCGGCAAGTCCAGTCCTCCCCTCAGGGACTCCAGTCCCACGGTAGTCTACCCAGATGGCGAGTTCACTCGCATTATTACTAACAAAAACCAAGTCCCCGCCATATTGGTAAAGCCTTACATACCATCATCCTGAAACTTATTGTTTCTACAAAAATATCAACGCCCAACTTGTCCATTGAATTACAACTTACCAGCACCAATGTGGTCAGAAGTTATTTACTGTACAACAAGACTACACCCAGGTATCTGATGAATTGACGCCTCGGTTTTCAAGGTATGCAACAGGTAGGAGATAAAAACATGGAGACCTGCAATATAACTGAAGTGTACCTCAACTTGACACCGGTGATTTTGTATTGCATTTGAATGATTAATTCAAAAGATATCTGTTTTAATAGTGAGTAAATTCAAATCAACATCCCGTTGCTTTACTTTTAAAGAGTGCTTATAACTGGTGGCAAACGTGGGCGTAGAAGAGGTTATGACAGGAGGATCTTCACATTTTAAGTCAATAGGTGTGAAAGTCTGGTCAGGTATTTATCGTATTTTGTGGAGTCCTTATACACAACATATTAGTGGATATATATCAGCTGGAAATCATTTATGGTTTTATATCATGAGTCGGAAATATATATCATACTGATAAAACATCACATAGACAAATATTTTCATTACCGTTGATTTAAATTGGAAATTTCCTGTTCCATGTACACATACTTATGGGGCACGGTAGCTGAAATGTCGACATAAGATTAACAACATTTTATGTATATCTACAGATATATAATATGTACGAAAAAAATTCAGTCAAATTTGTTTGAATTTCAATTTCCAGTAATTATTGGTAATGTAAATTTAAATATAAACAAACCGTGATTACTTGGTGAAGTATGAACATTTTCAATCACCTGGATACAGTATGGCTTTTCATCTTGTATAAAATGTTCGTGATAAATAATCCGCCATACCTGTCTTATACATTTTTATGTTATATAACACTATATAAGTTGCTGATTATGTACAGGGTGTGATTATTGATGTGCCAGCTGATTGTCTATGGTCCGTCCTGACACCTATAACACTTGTCCGAGCCATTCTTTGATTCCCTGTGATAGATGAAATTTTCATCGTTTTTTTTCCAAATATATATTATCAAATTATTCTTTTACGTCTCTTAAAGGTAAAAGAGAATATCTATCTTTATTATTGTGATATACACGAAGACATCGTCGTCATAGCTAGCGTGATATTAACGTTGATACCCGTTTTTCATTATTTAATATTTATTCAGTATTTTATGATATGAGAAAAATTGTCAAAATTTGCGATTTTATCATTCTTTCTCTGTGAGATTATGAAAATATCGCCATCATTATTTGCGCGATATGAGAGAGTATAACGTCATTATTATACATGATTTGTGGGAGAATGTCATCATCAGTATTTGTGTAATATATTAAAAGGTGACGTCAGCATTATTTGTTATGTATGTTCGTCAAAGCTAAATTGTCGAGGTTGAAAATCTTCAGTTTACAAAAGAATCGGGATTTTCTTCACTCGTCATTGCTTTACGTTACAAGGCATTTCGTTCTCATTTTACACCTATGATCAAAATGTGCCATACGTATCGTTCATCAGCGTTGGGAATATGTTAGTTGTACTGAACATTCAAACTTGATGCAATATTACACTTCTATACTGTCTACCCATACGCATTATTGTATAATGTTGTTGTTGTTATTATTATATATGAGAGCTACGCATTTTAAAATTAAATGTCTAACAAAGAAAATATTATGTTTATTTATTTATTATTAACGTCATCATCATCTAGAAAGTGGCACAAACTTTCAAACATTCCACGTCATAAAAATGTTTCCGTGTGGCATGTACGATGGTCTGAATTCTTCCCGATTCTCATGGTCTTAATGACGATTCAGTATTCATTCATTTTCTTATCTAGATCTTATTCAAGAAAATAATGTACATAGGGCAAATGCCATAAAACTGCAAGTAAGCTCAAGGAAATTAAATATTTGCTAATTTGATGAGGAGATTTTGTAGGCGACCATAACACTGCCCTGTGGTCTTCATCTAAATCCCTGTGTTTTTTAGCCTACTTGTAAGACTAAGACTTATCTTACGAGAAGGATTGCACCATATGAAAGGGAATATTTACACGGGTATGCTGGAAGAATGAAAGAAGCATACGATCAGGTGTTCCGGGAGAGTGAGCATCTTCCACTTCATCTATACCATCGATCGCAACCAAAGAGTCTGATACAGTATTCCTCTCGCCATCAAAGAGTCCGATACAGTATTCCTCTCGTCGTCAAAGAGTCTGATACAGCATTTCTCTCGCCATTAAAGAGTCCGATACAGTTTTCCTCTCACCATCAAAGAGTCCGATACAGTATTTCTCTCGCCATTAAAGAGTCCGATACAGTATTCCTCTCACCATCAAAGAGTCCGATACAGTATTCCTCTCGTCGTCAAAGAGTCTGATACAGCATTTCTCTCGCCATTAAAGAGTCCGATACAGTATTCCTCTCACCATCAAAGAGTCCGATACAGTATTCCTCTCACCATCAAAGAGTCCGATACAGTATTCCTCTCACCATCAAAGAGTCTGATACAGCATTTCTCTCGCCATTAAAGACTCCGATACAGTATTCCTCTCGTCATCAAAGAGTCCGATACAGTATTCCTCTCGCCATTAAAGAGTCCGATACAGTATTCCTCTCGTCATCAAAGAGTCGATACAGTATCCCTCTCGTCATCAAAGAGTCGATACAGTATTCCTCTCGTCATCAAAGAGTCCGATACAGTATTCCTCTCGCCATTAAAGAGTCCGATACAGTATTCCTCTCACCATCAAAGAGTCCGATACAGTATTCCTCTCACCATCAAAGAGTCCGATACAGTATTCCTCTCACCATCAAAGAGTCTGATACAGCATTTCTCTCGCCATTAAAGACTCCGATACAGTATTCCTCTCGTCATCAAAGAGTCCGATACAGTATTCCTCTCGCCATTAAAGAGTCCGATACAGTATTCCTCTCGTCATCAAAGAGTCGATACAGTATCCCTCTCGTCATCAAAGAGTCGATACAGTATTCCTCTCGTCATCAAAGAGTCCGATACAGTATTCCTCTCGCCATCAAAGAGTCCGATACAGTATTCCTCTCACCATCAAAGAGTCCGATACAGTATTCCTCTCGTCATCAAAGAGTCCGATACATTATTCCTCTTAAACTTTTCTTGCCAAGTCTTTAGGTGTCAGTGTTACTTACTATCATTGTCCGTTTGAGTGAGGGCTTGATGTTCTGTGTTCGATGCCGTAAGTTTTAAAGAATGTAGTCTTCTTCGCATGCAAATTCGGATCCATTAAAACAATGCTTTCCTCAGAATATGAGACATCTGTTAATATAATTCTGTCAGGTATGTCTGATTCTTTGAGAGGTTCTAGTTCATTCATGGCGACTCGGCACACACTGTTTCTTCGATGACAATTCAAAGTCTGTGCTCATACCTTACCAATATCAAATTTCACATGATATATATACTTACATTTCACTACAATTGTATACCTAAACGGGACACGCTCACTGAACTAGTATGTCTTCACGCAGAAATTTTGTTTCTACTTCAAATTTGTTATGCATCTCTGTCGAGATTGGCAAATCTGGTACCAAACATCCGTACATGCTGGAACGTAAGCTCTACTCAGTGTAGCTGTGATAAACATTTCTTTACGGGCTTTTGTGTAAGGTTAGAAGTTGGTGTTGCAGCTAGAGAATGGTCATTAGGGGTTTCTGAAATGTTGATTGCAAAGCCTTGAAACATTTCCTTCGGGTTAATAACGTACATTGAATAGAGGTTTTTATCACAATCAGGAAAAAGAAAGCGTGACGTTTGTTTACTATTGGCTAGTTATGACCACAGACTTTGAAGTATGTCTTCAGTCAGATTCTGTTTCTGCTGAAAATCCTTTTTTCTTATTTCGTTTTTTTTATTAGAATCAGAAAAAATGTGAAGTTTCGATGACCAATGATGAAAGAGACAATATATTTCTAAATGGTTGTAGTTGTAGTATAAGGACACATAATCAATTGATTACAAAGGCTTTTGATCGGATTCCACCTTCATGTGCCTCCCGTAAATCTATTTTGTTAATAAAATGTGCCTTCCTAGACAGTGTTAGATGATCGGAAAAGTGGAAAGAAAGATACAACTATTGTTCGCGTTATTCCCCATATTATGCCAAAGGTTCTGATTATCGATCAAAAGTTGTGTTAAATAAACCAAGTATCAAGACTTCGTTATATACAGCGATTAAACCTGGAGTCAAAACTGAGAGTATCGTTATAAAACCTTGGCCCGAAATGACTTCAGGCTTGAGATAATGTCATGTGGCCAAATTGTCGGTCGATAAGGCTGTGCTCGATGAAATTATACCAGAATGCTTTATTGTCTGTTTTCATTCAAACTCGAGATCAGGAGAAAGAGAGCTATTTATTCATTAAACTTTAACCCGAGATTACATCTAGTGTCCAGTTATTTATTTATTTAACCTTGTCTTGAGATTCCAGGGTCCAGTTAATTACTTATTAAACCTTGGCCCTAGCTTACGTCATCGGACCCAATTCTTAACCGATAAAACCTTGACTTGCGACTACACCATGGGGTCCGCTCCTTTACTGATTAAACCTTGAAGTTACACCATGAGATCCAGTTAATTATTAAATAAACATTGGCCCTAGCTTAAATCATCGGATCCAATTCTTTATTGATAAAGTCTTGACATCATGGGATTCGTTTCTTTACTAATTAAACATTTCCTCCAGATTACAACATGGGGACCAGTTATTGGTTATATCTTGACATGACATTACAACATGGGGACCAGTTATTTATTGGTTATATCTTGACATGACATTACAACATGGGGACCAGTTATTTACTGGTTATATCTTGACCTGACATTACAACATGGGGACCAGTTATTGGTTACATCTTGACATGACATTACAACATGGGGACCAGTTATTTACTGGTTATATCTTGACATGACATTACAACATGGGGACCAGTTATTTACTGGTTATATCTTGACATGACATTACAACATGG